TAAATACAAAAAAAAAATTATAATTATGGAGTATAAACTGTATATAATTGTTAGAAAATGTGCAAAAACAATGAGATGATAAGCGATGCAAAAGATCTTAAACGGTTATTTGACCGGTTATGGTTTGTTTAGAGTTAAAAATCTTTCTTTCCTGATCCGTTGTCCGATCAAGCCATTTCTTTTTTTTTTCTCTCTATCAGTGTCTTTGTTCATTTTTTTTATCAGAACATCGTTATCTCACCTCAAATACAAAATTATAACCGGTTTTCGTCATTTTGTAAAACTATTAGCTTGAAATAACCTTAGCAATGAAATTAACCTTTTTTTAAAAAAGTGAACTTTTTATTTGGATTGTATTAATATGATGAGAGTACCAATTACAGCTATCTAAGCTTTTACAGTCCCTGGCCATATTATTAGACGACAAAATTATAATTATACAGGTGACATAATATAAACAAATAATTATGAATGTATAATTATAACAAAATTATAATTATACAGGTGACATAATATAAACAAATAATTATGAATGTATAATTATAACAAAATTATAATTATACAGGTGACATAATATAAACAAATAATTATGAATGTATAATTATAACAAAATTATAATTATACAGGTGACATAATATAAACAAATAATTATGAATGTATAATTATAACAAAATTATAATTATACAGGTGACATAATATAAACAAATAATTATGAATGTATAATTATAACAAAATTATAATTATACAGGTGACATAATATAAACAAATAATTATGAATGTATAATTATAACAAAATTATAATTATACAGGTGACATAATATAAACAAATAATTATGAATGTATAATTATAACAAAATTATAATTATACAGGTGACATAATATAAACAAATAATTATGAATGTATAATTATAACAAAATTATAATTATACAGGTGACATAATATAAACAAATAATTATGAATGTATAATTATAACAAAATTATAATTATACAGGTGACATAATATAAACAAATAATTATGAATGTATAATTATAACAAAATTATAATTATACAGGTGACATAATATAAACAAATAATTATGAATGTATAATTATAACAAAATTATAATTATACAGGTGACATAATATAAACAAATAATTATGAATGTATAATTATAACAAAATTATAATTATACAGGTGATACAGCTTTACTGTTCTTTACTCGGATGAAACCATTTGTTGATGTTCGTGTATCAATGGGTTAACATTGTCATGAAATACGTTAAAAATAAATACAAATAGGAAGTCTATAAAAAATCGCATAAATAAAAACCCATGACATGTATGTCTAAATATTAACTCGTATTGCCTATGAACTCGTGTAAAACATGTCATTATTAAAAAACTACATTTCGTTTCATAATTGGATCTAATTATTATAATATACTAACATAATGCTTGATGTAATAAATATTTATATAATATATCGTCTAATTTAATTACGTCAAATTTATATTACATACCCTCTCACCCATTGATACATTGATAGTATCACCTCATAATTATAATTTCACATAGAGTGAGTCGAATATTTTGAGCCAGGGAGTGTACTATATACCTAAATCAATTGTTTCTTTCCAACCGTTGCTATGGAAAATAATAATGATAATTGAAACTTGAAACTCATTATTTGTGTAAACCGTAAGAAACCAAATTCGACTTCAGGAGTTGGGGAAGATTTAATAATCGATGTAAGTGAATGCAAAATATATCCCTTATAAAGTAAGTTCACAAAAAAGATTGACAATTTGGCCAAGATGTTCCGAATCTTATTTGTTAGCAATTTTGAAGCTTGGCTTAGTGTTTCCTTATACAGCAACGATAAAAGTTTGAAAAATTATTTAATACAAAAAAATATAGGACTTTGCTTATTTGGCGAGAACACACAAAAAAAGGAAAGATTGGCATTACAATCAGGCGCTATTAAAAGAATTAAATAAATTTTAAACTTTTTATTAAAATTTAGTATAAGCACAAAATTGTTACTGGGACCAAAGTATGCGCTTTTTAGTCAAGTCATCTATCAACTTTTTCGATATCCTTTATACGTATTTTTCTGAAACTATTTTTAAATACGGATTTGAAATACTAAATACGGTAAGCAAAATATTGAGGTTATTTGGTAGTTGATTTTAAGAACCTTGAAGTTTTAGTTTTGAGTCTTCGATAAAATTTGAAAGGTTAAAGAATATGCCTGTTTTTTATCTTATTTGTGACAGTCTTCTTTCTCCCCCCCCCCCCCCNGCAAAATAAGTATTGGTTTGGACTTCATGGCGTCCTCACTTTTCAACTGCAATAATCAAAAGTAATAGTAATCAGTGTGCATGAGTTACTATGGCGACTACTGCAGTTTGATCATTTTTTTAGAGTTCTCTTTTTTCTCACTTTTAATTTTGTTATGCAATAAATGGGTGAGTTTATTTTTGAGACATGGGACCAGAGAGATCCCATAAATACTTCTTGAGTTTTGAATAAAAGAGAATTTCATCATTTGAACGATATTTTTGTTTTTATTGTTTTCATTAGGAATCAGAAACCTGCAGTTCTAACTGGATCGTTTTCAATACTAAATCGGGTGAATATCACACATTAAGAGGGTCCAACCTGATGGACATGGTCCCAAAAGTTCGAGTTGAAGCAGGAAAAGAACGATGCCAAGGCCTAAACTTACCGAGGCTGAAAAAGCCAAAGAGAGTAGACGGGAATACCTTAAGCAAAGTGGTCGGCAAACTTATTAGCCAAAGAGCCAAATATGAACATTACAACAATTTAAAAAAAAAATTGGGAGCCAAATCTGCTTGTTTAGTAAACTTTCATTACACTAAATAAGTAGTACACTAAACAAAATTAAATTTCATACTTAATAAATATTTATTAATGCAACAATGTGCTTGCATCTCCTTGGAAAGTTTGAGTAAGTCAGGTTTGTACGTTATTGTCTTAGGCCAAGTTATCATCAATAAGAAGACTTCTCAGTTTACTCTTGATAATGTTCATGCTTGAAAAAGATTGTTCGCCTATATATGTAGCTTTTTCAGCTGATCGTTAAGAGTCAGTCTCCAAGCTTTGATCACATGTCTTCTTCCTCCACATCACAATATAAAATTTTAATTACCTATCAATCTATTAATTTAAGCAAAAAAATTATACATGCTCTCGATTTATAGGGGAATTTATCAAAATAAGATGTAATTTTCTTCTTACCAAATTTTTTTTAAATGAAAGTATTATTGCGCCTTCCGTGGATATTTGTGCCAGAGCCGCACTTAAGGAGCCAAAGGGCCACATGCGGCTCTGGAGCCGCTCTTTGCCAACCACTGCCTTGAGCATTACACACAAACTGGAAAACGAAAGAATTCCGTTCACAAACACAAGCATCCCTCACAAAAGTACCGAAGTGGTTGACAGAATTGAGCCCTACCGAAGAGCGAATGGTGACTCTCAGAACCCCTTTCATGCAAATATGAGAACTGGATTTTGATCACTAGTTAGGGATAAAAGGATCCATTGCCATCGTACCCAATGACTCGCACATGACCGTAGACTGTCTTCCAAGCAATATAAATGATTCTATCAGTATTCATGTAAAATTGAAAAAAAAAATCTAGCTTTCAAGTCATATTTCATGTATGAAGTTGTGAATCCGAAACGGGTGTATGATGTATCTTACAATCTCCATCAAACACCAATCCGAAAATGTTAGTATTGATCTCGATTGGCTGTTCAATGTCTATTCAGTCATCAAAAGAATTGATGCAGAATGTGTCTGAGCTGAATTTAAATATGTCTGCGAAATTGTGTACTGAGTATCCTTTCCAAAAACAAAAAAAAAATTTAACTACAACCATTTTGCTAATGGGTAACCTGCGATCGCCACAAGGCAATAACAATTTTCTCCATTTTTTTTTTTTTTTTTTTTTTTTTTTTTTTTTTTTTTTTTTTTTTNATATATATATATATATATATATATATATATATATATATATATATATATATATATATATATATATATATATATATATATATATATATATATATATATATATATATATATATATATATATATATATATATATATATATATATATATATATATATATATATATATATATATATATATATATATATATATATATATATATATATATATATATATATATATATATATATATATATATATATATATATATATATATATATATATATATATATATATATATATATATATATATATATATATATATATATATATATATATATATATATATATATATATATATATATATATATATATATATATATATATATATATATATATATATATATATATATATATATATATATATATATATATATATATATATATATATATATATATATATATATATATATATATATATATATATATATATATATATATATATATATATATATATATATATATATATATATATATATATATATATATATATATATATATATATATATATATATATATATATATATATATATATATATATATATATATATATATATATATATATATATATATATATATATATATATATATATATATATATATATATATATATATATATATATATATATATATATATATATATATATATATATATATATATATATATATATATATATATATATATATATATATATATATATATATATATATATATATATATACACAGAGAGAGACGTTTATTGCTATTACTATAACAAATATTCTCGGATAAGAAGAGATTTAAAAAAAATCCCTGGGTTAAATTTAATCGGTTAGCAATAACTTGTTAATGTTCAAAACATTAATTTCCAACTCATATGACAAAAAGGAAAGAAATTATCAACCATTTTTCTTCCTTATTTTTATCATTTGTTTTTTATACCTGTATAAACTATTTTTTCCCCTTTTATTCAGAAGAATCGCTTTTAAAAGATAGGATTTGTTTCAAATGAGAAATTGTTACGCATTGCGAGAATAAGTCTTGTGAACAAAAGGTCTCTCTGTGGAAAAAAGTGAATATTTACTCAGCTGTGTCAACAACGACGTCACTGTGACCACGACGGAGAATATATGTGATAAGATAGGGAGGGTGGAGGTCACATGACGAGTAATACACCTGCCGGGAAAAGTATGCTTTATTCCAAACGCGAAAAGAAAAACGATTTATTAATGCTGGATGCTGCGGATTATATTAATCCGGAATTACCTGAAAGCAACAGCCAAGAATGTGAGGAGGAGGAAAGCTTTTTTGTTTTTAACTGCTTTACATTTTCCTTTTTTGATTTGATTGAATCCAGGAGAAAATTTATTTTTCGTGTGCTCTTTGAAATAAATTGCAAAAAATATTCATCTTTAATAATAATAATTTCCCATATACCAGAAGAAAACGATTTGGCTTTTTTTTCACTATTGATACTGGAAATCGTCTGATACTGGAAATGTATCGCTTTTCTCCTATTTTCAAAATAGAAATATAAAATATATATATGGATTCATCAGACAAATACTTCTTTAAGAAAACAGATGACTTATAGAAGAAATAAATAGTGTGATTTAACTGACAGAGGAATTTTTGGAAAAATTCTGATGCTTTCGAAGTATTTTCCCTCTCTAGAATCCAATTCTTTAGAATTATCAGATTTTGAAACATCGCAGGTAAGAACTTCCGATGAATTGTTAAAACTTGGTACTCCAGAAGTCGAATCACTCCAAGAAAATAACAGAACTTTATTAGCGAAAATTAGTCATTTTAATGATGCGAGTTCTAACGAAACTATATTTACTTCCGAAATCACGAAGCCACCGCCAACGTTCACACCTTACGCTATAGCCATCATCTTTGGCGTGTTTCTGATCATCATGGCGTCAGTTTTTATTTATTATTTATGTCGTTGCATGGCACGCAGAAAGAAGCGAGAGAACCAACTAGCCGAAATAACGCCGAAATCACCAGATCCGAGAATGGTCGGAATTAAAGCGAATCAACCAATCCAGTTTGTGGTGCCGACGACTATACTCGTCGAGAACACTGAAGACTCTATTTCTGAAACAGATTATTCGTCTAGCGGTGCTTTACCCATCGTTCTAGGTGAAAGAAGAAAGTCCAAGTACCATATAAATCCCGATGATTTGCAACATGGATTGTACGAGGGAGTGAAAGCAGCGACAGAAAAAGGAAGTTTTCTCGGTGATTTGGGTAAAGTGGGTTTCTCGTTTTGTTACAACTCTCTGCGTAACCAACTGATGGTGAAACTCATCGGCGCCAAAGACTTACCGTGTCATTTTTTAAAGACAACAGCGAATCCGTGCGCTAAAATGGTGTTACTGCCAGAGAGGACTACAAAATACATGTCCAAAATACAACGGAACACTATAAATCCCATCTTTAACGAAACATTTGCCTTCAATGTCAGGCAAGACGATCTTGCTGAGAAAAAAGTGAAAATATCCGTTTATGATTATGATAAATTTTCTCGTAAGTGTCTGATTGGACAAGTGGTTTATTCCATTCAAGATTCGACGATTAAATCAATGATCACGGATACATGGACTGGAGAATTATGGGTGGATTTAAAGCCCGAATCATCTTCTACGGTAAGAAAAATATTTCTTAATTATGTTTGTCGTGATCACGGATATTTGTTGATTATATTTGTTAGATGCTACCTTTTTGTATCTTATTCCAAGTTTCTTAAGAAGATTTGTGAGAAGTTAATTTTTTTTTAAACGCGCCATTCATAAAGTTCGCGTCTCATTTTTTCTTTAAATTTTTAAAAATTTATCGTCTGTCATTAAGCATAGAATAAATTAAAATAATTTTAACATTTGCAGCTTGGAATGATAGCCTTCTTGCATAAAATGCTTTGAAATTTTAAGATTTTATTTAAGCAAAATACATATTTATTTTAAAGAATTTCTTGCAATATTGGTTATAACCCTTGTTTGCGACCCACATTTGCAATAATTAATCTGATTTCTGAAGAAGAAAAAAATGAACGTATAAATGTTTTTTAGTTTGCTGTCATTAAATATATTATTTAATGAATAACTTTGTAATTTTTCAAATGTATTTTTCTTTTAAAATTTAATGTAATTGGTAACTTTCTATCTCTTGAAAAAATTTTAATTTTGTAGCATTGGAATTAAAAATAATAATTTTAGAAATCTCTTTAAAAAAGCCATTTTAATCTCAACTACAAAGTTTTACATATTACGAAACATTGCAATTAGTTTATNTATACATCTATAAGAGAGAGTGAGAGATAAAAAGGTAAGATGTAACGACGATAAGATGCTCTGATAAGACGTTTACAAGTTTAAAATGGTATCAAAAATGCTTAGAATTTCTTTCAACGACTTCTAATGTTTTGTTACGTTAATGTTTGTTAATTTTCTTTAGAATGACGTTAAGCATTTGAAATCTAATCATTGAATTTTTTGTTAATGCTTCAGCAACATAATATGCCTGTTAATGTTTTCAAAAAAATGTGAATTTATCGAAATTTTTCAAAATTTTCTGGATTTATTAAAATTTCACCTAAGACAACCTAACAATATGAATAGTAACTATAGTGTTGTCAATCAATTCAGAAATACCAAAGCTCATGGCGACACATCAGAGAATTATATATTACAGATGATTCGATATTAAAAAAAACAATAAATCGATATTAGAACTACAAAATGATTCGATATTTAAAAAAACAATAAATCGATATTAGAACTACAAAATGATTCGATATTTAATAAAAAACAATAAATCGATATTAGAACTATAAAATGATTCGATACTACGAAAATATTGTAAAGCTGTTGCAAGAGGGAGCAGGGCTCGTAAAATACGATCGAAATCTGCGACCCATAAACTTTGAGTAGAGACAATAATTTTTGCTTTAAAATTATGATGTGACATTTTTTTATAGTTCAATATTTATGTAAAAGAAAACCAGTTTGACAATTGAACTCGATGAGATATTTATTTTTACCATCTTTCCTCGTATTTTCAACAACTATAGAAACATCCTCTACTTTCCTTATCTTCGGATTCCTCAAATTCCCGATTTTCAGTTTGGTAATAAAGTGTTGAAAGGATGAGAAATGCTGATCATGTAGAAAATAAATCGTTTATAATAAGTGAGAATTTGTCGAAAGCCCAGGGCCCGACTTAGCCTAACAGAGGTCCGGGGCAAAAACTTCTTTGCCCCCCCCCATCTGCTTCAGTAATGAAGAACGAAACTTTATGGAGGTATTTAAATTTTTCGCCTCATTAAGGATAACATAACAAGAAAATGGACTAATATAATAGATATAAATTACCCCGGTAACTACCCTTGTCTTAGTCAGCCTCTTCGAAAGCCACATGAATTTACCAAAAAATTGGTGCAAAATCCAACAGACGTGGTCAAAAATCCAGTTTTAATTAATCATTTGCGGGATTTCGTGTTTCTTGATAGTTCCGATGTAAAATAATTGCCAAAATATTTATTTTAAAAAAGCATGCATTCACGACCCAATTCGAGCACATCGAATGCGTGCGTCGAAATATTATTATTTAAATTTCATTTACGATTATATTTGCACAAAATCGAGCTTTTAATATGTAGCAAGATTTCTTAAAACTATTTAAAAGGGCTGGGATAGCCTGGTTGATAGGGCGCAGGACCCATGTCCAAGAACTCGCGGGTTCGATCCCCGGAGGCCAAAGTCACTATCTGCTAGACCCCGTCTAGCAGATAGTGACTGATGCACGTTAAATCTGTCGAGTCGCAAAGTCCTCCATGTTCCCATAACAAATCAATACCTCTGGGGGATTCAGAAGTTTGCTCGTCTTCTGGATTGGTTCAAAGTGATAAGACTAAGGAGTTGAACATTGGTAGTCGTAAACCCAAAATTGGGTCGGCTGTTTTCAAAGACGGATATATATATATAAAACTATTTAGAAATCTATATCAGCATTTGCTGAAAAACCAAATGATTTAACGATGAAAAATCAGAAGACTCATAATATGCGTGATTTATGTGTCATAATAGTTTCGATTTTAAAATATCAGGATTTTAAAATGACGTTGAAATCCATGGGTATGAATCATGAAAAAAGTTTTTTCGAATAACAATGTGAATGAATAACGTTGCAAATCAAACGCGTGGATCTAAATACGGGATTCGAAATTCACTTGTGATAATATCTCAATTAAAAATACAAATTTTTCGCAAAATAAATAATGTAAAAATCGACATAGAAAAAAAAAAAATAATTACCGACATAAAAATCGACGGTAATTGTTGAAACGATGAAATCGACATAGAATCCGTCAAAAGATCAATGAAATGTTCGGGATTTCCGTTTCGTGTTCATTTGTTCTAAAAAAAATAGGAAAACGCATTAGATTCAATAATATTTCAGCAAAATAATAATATGCCTATCTTTTTATTCGCAGTAATTGCATAATTTTTACGCAAAGATTCGTGATTTCGGAATTTTCTTTCAAAATTCCCGCGAACTGGAAAGTTTTAACGAAGTTGCGTCCCAATTTATAAATTTGCGTAAAAAAATACAATAAAAAAAACACTATAAAAGACTTTATTCCATGTAATTTCAAATTCTGATATAATATGCATATTTAATTGTAAAAACATTTAATTGAATATACATAGATTTTTTGAAATTTCCTTCAAAAAATTGTATAGCGTTTTATTTTGTTCTAATAAGAATTTCATTCATTTGTAAGAAGCATTTCAAGGGTAAGGATCGGCCGGGTTAGACTAAATTAGCGGGACACACAGGGAAATTTTGGCTACTCATTATTTGGCGTAAAATTTTAGATTTTTTAAGAATCTGTTTATCATTTAATTAAAAACAGCTTTCATGTATTTGTTTTTATGATATTAAATGCATGATTTTTTGTTTGATAATATTGAGAATCAATCAATAAATAAAGCTATCATATTTTTTCCCCCTGAATTTTATTTTTTCTCATAATGTGCCAAAAAATTTTTTTTTTTCCCATGCTTATTTAGATTAAGATATGCATTTTATTATCAGTTAACATTTATCCTTATTCAAAATTTTATCTCCCTGATTGATTCTAAAAACTAATCTTACGTTCACAATACTTATTTACTCACTAATATCCAAGAGTAGTTAATTTATACCAAACATTAATAAGTTGTATCAAGGTTTTTCTACCACTTTAGCTTTAAATACGATTTCAGGCCCAAAAATGTCATTAATATAGTCTGAACTATCTTTTTCCTCCTTTTTTATGAAACTTAACTCTGAAAGGATATATTAAATAGAAGGTATACCAAAAAGCCAATCAAGGAGTTCGAAATGGCTTATAGGATCATTTCAGGCAACGACTTTGCGTAGAACTGAAATTACGTGTTTGGTAGTCCCTGGCCCAAATTATTAAGACCACTATAGTGCGACGAATAATTTGGCCAGGCTATTTTGTAAAATCTTAATTATCAGGAGATATAGCTGTATTGTTTTTACGAGGTTGAAAACGGTTTGTGCCAATAGGTGAACATTGTAATGCAATACGTTAAAAATAAATACAAATAGGAAGTCTATAAAAAATCACCCGAATAAAAACCCACGACATGCATGTTTAACTATAAAAGTATCGCTTATAAACTGATGCAAAACATGCAATTATTAAAACACTGTCGAGCATCTAATTACTTGGTCTAATTATTATAATATAATACCTGATATAATAATTATTCTATATTTATATAATATTCGCGATCGCAACGAACTATAGGGGGCGTTGTTGTATGAGACTAATACTTGCGATTTCGAAATGAACAGTCATTCATTTACTCTGGAGACGTCTTTAATGTAGCGTGTAACATTGTAACGTTCCTTCTTTATCGTGNACTATAGGGGGCGTTGTTGTATGAGACTAATACCTGCTATTTCGAAATGAACAGTCATTCATTTACTCTGGAGACGTCTTTAATGTAGCGTGTAACATTGTAACGTTCCTTCTTTATCGTGGCTTATTAAATTTTAAAAAGAAAAATGCTTGATATCCTTTCTTAAGCAAGCGAAAACAAAATGGTATCTCCTTTTATTAGAGAAGGAATATCCAAAACACATCGGAAAAATATTTGTACATAAACCAAAAAAAATATGTATATTCTTATAAGAGTTAAAACCTAATGCCCGAGAAATAATTTTACTGAATTTAATGATGTAACATGAAAGGCCTATTTAAACTTTACATTCCATAGTTTTAAGAATCATATTACTTCAAAAATTAAAATGAACAATAAGTATACACTAGGGGGCTCCGCCCCCTGCTCGCTACGCTCGCCAACCCCCAGAACTGCTACGCAGTTCCATTGCATATTGCTTCGCAATCTTATAAAAACATTTTAACAAATTTAAATTTTAAAATAAAAATGCCAGATATTGAAATCAATTACTTAATGAAATTTATACACTTCTCTGCCCCCTTCACAATTTGATTATCTTTTCTTCATGTAGCTGAGAAATTTGGAGCTGTAGCAGAGAATATATCTCAATAAGAAATGCTTTCCCGTTTAGAATTCCGCCATTCATTTCTCTGACGTCTGCCAGAGATATT